TAGGTATGAGTTAAGTTGTTTTGCTCAAGAATGTAAAGGGAAAAATACTTGGACTTATGGACAATAATACAAAGAATACAGAACTAAAGTTAAAACAAAGCATTTAAAGCCAGGAAAGAATAGACTCACTACCAGGAAGTGAATTAGGAGGGAGATGGGGAATCCTTGAGAAGAATCTCCCAAAAGATAGCAAACATAAGAAATTAAAAAAAAAAAACTACATATGTAAAAGAGGCTAAACCCAATAAATAGATAATTGACTTCTAAAACAAATGAAAAGAAAGCAGGAGTCAGGGAGTGCAGAAAGTATGTTGAGGAAATTTTAAACTGATAGATGGAAAACTGAATAAAAAGTTATACATACCTAAATATATAACTTGGTGAAATTTTATTTATTTATTTTTTATGTGGTGCTGAGGATTGAACCCAGTGCCTCACACGTGCTAGGGGAGTACTCTACCACTGAGCCACAACCCCAGCCCATAACTTGGTGAAAAGTTAGCACCTCATGGATAAACGTTTTTTAATCCTAAATGCACATGAGCAGAGGCTACAAAAAGTTATCTTCAATTGAGCATTATATAAGATTCCTTAAAGATAAAACACAAACATAAATTTTATATAATTATTAAAAAATAAAATTCTTGAGATAACTTCAGAATAAAAATTCCATACGGAATATTCATTCCAAATGAAAAATAAAAGCTAAAATAATAAAAGGCTATGGTTGTGGCTCAGAGGTAGAGCATGCACCTAGCACATGCAAAGCACTGAGTTCCATACTCAGACCCACATAAAAATAAAGMAAATAAAGTTATTATGTCCAAATACACATAATAATAATATCCAATAATATGTACTGGGGGTTTTAAAATGTGCCATGCATGTGTTGAGCATCTTATTTGTTTTAATTCAAWCCTCAATAAAAAAACAAATAAAACGAACTCCAATATTATCTTCATTTGACAAATAAAGGAACTGTGGCACAGAGGTTAAGAGACTTACCCAAAATTACAGGGTCACTGAGAGTTGCCAGGGTTTGAACCCAGCAGTCTGGATCCCATCACCAGCCTTTTGAACTACCATTCAAAATTGGCTGTCCTTACAGTAAAAAGAGTAGCACAGATCAGGCAAACTAAAACAAATGAACAACAACAAAAAAGAGCAGTTGTGATAGCAATGTTGACCATTAAAAGGAGAAGACTGTAGTTTGTCAATAGGGATAGATACAACTTATGATGAAGAACAGAAATACCAGAGTACCCAGAACCTTGCAATTCCTGCTCCATAGTTTACATCCAGGAAATGTCAGTTGAATGAATAAACAAATGAGCTAGTAAAGATGCAAACAGATCAGGCACAAAAGGAGAAAACAAAAAACAAGAGGAAGCTGACAAGAGAATGTTAGCAAAAAGTAAATACAGCCAGTTCTGCTATAGACACTTGTTTTAGAAATGGGAATTTGTTCCAAAGTGATTGATTTTATTAGGAAAAAAAATTGCATTTTTTGAAGTGCAATTTAGTCCCTGAGAAATACCAGGTGAAGGCAGATAACTACCCAAATGAACTGAGCCCTGGGAATACACACATGTGCATGCTGCAAACATCAACCAGCTCCTTCAGTTCATCATGTGTTATGAGTCACACTCCTCCACACCTGCTGTGCAACTTTCCATCAGATTTCAAGAAACAACACTTACACCACCATTTCACAGTAACACACAATCTATACTTTTTCCAACACCCACTTCCACAAACAAATATCATATTTTTTTCAAGGTAAACGGATACATTTATTGTAGCATTTATACATGTCTTAGTTTAATACATGTAAAACTGGACAAGCACTTTTATTAGGTTTCCTTTTTTAGGTTCTTTGTGAGCACAAGTCACTGATGAAGTTCTACTGTGCTATGCACCCTAATTCCATTTTTTCCACAAGCACTATGGTTTTATTGCATGACTATGCATATACAGTGATTTTTTTAAAGAATAAATATGTTGCATGATAGCAGAATTAACTATACACATATGAAAACAGTAATTTTAAAATACTGAATTAGCAGATACCCATCAGAATGCACATTCTACCAACACCTCCTCTTTAAGTACCATTAGAAGGTTCATCAATATCGTTCACATATTAAGTCACAAAGAAAAACTCAAAATATTCTAAAGAATAAAAAGCACACAGTTCATAAGCACTCTGACCATAAGACATGAAAGCAAGTTTTTAATAAAGTATAGAAGGAAAAAAGAGCATTTTAAAAATAAAATTATTTTTCTAGCCAAAGAGAAAATGGTAAGTACAGCTGCAGAATTCTTACGAAAAAAATACAATAATGACAAAATTACATGTAAAAATGTAAAAGCTAGTTATAACAGTGCTAAAAAGTAAACACACAGATAGAGGTACATTTCTTATTAAAATAAATGGATTGGCCCATTTAACATTAGTGAAAGCAGGCAGAAGAAATTAGGAAAGATGAAAGCAGAAAGGTCAAAGTTAAAAACCACAAAAATACAAATAGATTCTGAGGGAAGTGAGAGCAGGTGAAAACCAATAAAATAAGTGAAAGCTTTAGCCAGTCTATTAAAGATGAAGGAAAAAATCAGAAAATAAGTAATAAAAAAAGCAAAAAATAAGCACAGATGAAATAAATCCTTAAAAATCTAAAACAAATCAATAGAATTTCTATAAAATTATTTTTTTAGAAAATATAAAATGTTATTTATATATAAGGAGTAATGTAAGATCTAAACAAACAAAAGCATTTTTATATCTTAAAATTTAGTCAAACCAAAAAAAGTCCCATGTAGTTTTTAAATATTTTTTTAGATGTTGATGGACCTTTATTTTATTCATTTATTTATATGTGGTGCTGAGAATTGAACCCAGTGTCTTATACATGCTAGGCCAGTACTCTATGACTGAGCCACAACACCAGACCTTCATGTAGTTTTACAAGATAGTTCTTAATTTTTAAAAGCTTGCCAACTAGTAGGTAGCTAGAGCTAAACTAAAGATTTAGAAACCAGGTGCTCTGGCACAAGTCTGGAATCCAGTGACTCTGGGAAGCTGAGGCAGGAGAATCACAAGTTTGATGCCAGCCTCAATAACTTAGGCCCTAAGCAAAATAGCAAGACCTTATCTCAAAATAAAAGATAAAAAGGGCTGTGGATGTGACTCAGTGGTTAAGCACCCCTAGATTCAATACCCAGTATTGAAAAATAAAAATAAGGCTTCAGAAATGTTATGATTGGCTGTGTATTTGTGCATTTGTGTGTATGTACATGTGCATACACCTATGTATGTTAATCTAAATTGGCTGCTAACATTTCAATTTAAAAAGTAATACACAACACTTTGGAATTCTAGTTTATCTTGAGTAACTGGAGGAAATGTCCAGATAACACATATCTGGAGTAGAAGAGTAGCTAGCCACTTTGGCTATGGTGGATACTCAGCTTATCCTGGTACCTCCAGAGTCTACATGCTCCAATTAATGATAGAAGTCATAGAAGTCAGTTCTCCCCAAAATTGTCATTGGATGTTTGTGCCAATTTCCATCAAAATCCAAAGACTTTTTTTTTTATGGAGTAGGATGAACTTAATAAATTAATTATAAAGCTGTTTGAGAAAAATAAATGGTCATTCATTAAAATAATCTTTAAATATAGAAAGATAAGAGAAGACTGAAAGTGTCTAAGGAAATATATCATAAAGCCATAACACTTAAGAGTCAAACAGAGGGGCTGGGGTGGTGGTTCAATGGCAGAGAGTTTGCCTAGCAAATGTGAGGCACTGGGTTCAATCYTCAGCACCACATAAAAATAAAAAAATAAAATAAATGTATTGTGTCCATCTACAACTAAAAAAGTATATATACATATTAAAAAAAAGTTAAACAGTAAAGTCTATGAAACAGGTCAAGATGTCCAGAAATCAGCACATATTTAAACAGTATAAAGATGGCACTTCAAATCAGTAGAAAAGGATGGCTTATTTAAATCTTAGGCAACACAACATGTGAAGGCACAATGTTTGGAGGTAGAAAGCCCAGGCTAGATGGAATACTAGTGCTGCCATGTTTAGCAGAGTGACATCAATGAATCAATGTCTTTATCTGTAAAATGAGGAAAATGATCATACCTACTTCACAAAACAGTTGAAAGGATTGTTAGTTATAATTTGTAAAGTGCTTAGAACAGTGACAAATGCAGTCACTGCTATATAAATGTTAAATAGATAAAATAATCCATAATTGGTGATCAGAGAACCACCTGTCACTATATAGAAGGGCATAAATTTGGAGTTTTTTTTTTTTTAAATGAAACTAGAGAAAAAAAGAACTATTTATCTAAACCGTAGACTGGGGAAGATCTTCCTAATTACAAAAGCAAAAGCAATATCATAAGAAAACAGATTAACAGACTTGACTACATGAAAATTTTAAGTCTGTTAAAGATTAATAATTAATAAAAACTTCAGAAGAAATACATATCTAAAAGTGAATAAGAAAAAGTATAATCAAGCAAGTCACAAAAAAATTTAGTTTCTAAGAGAAATATGCAACATTGATAGCAATCAAAAATGCAAATTAAAATATTTTTCAACAAATTGACCAAGTTTTTCAAAAATTATATTGTTGACCAATAAGCTGAGGAGTTTGTACATTTCTACACAGAAGATTGAAAGATTAATTGAAACAACTTTTTTAGAAATCACTCTGATGATATGCTATTTAAAAAATTTAAATATTAAACCCCTTTGACCCAGAAATTCCATTTCTAGGGAAAAAGTTGGAATAAAAATTTCAATGGAAATGTTTCAATTCTTTTTTTTAAAAGATGAATCAAAACCAATTAAAAAAAGGATATAAAGAAATAAAAGTTTCAGAAATAAGGCTAAAAATTCACCTCCTAAAATTTTAACACTTTTTTCACTATACAATTAATCATTAATACTACCAAATTTTAAAAAAAGCTTTAAAACAAACCTTTTAACAGCTTCCTTCTTCTGAGTATCTACAATATCCCACCATTTTGAAAGGTAAGAGATTTCAGACCACATAAATTTCCGACTTGAGTCTTCTTTCAGCTTTATGACCATGTTATTAAAAATATAATGAGTCTTTTCTCTAAAGTATTCATTGAAAGTCTTCAACCAACCTAAACCAAGACACAAATATACCACAAAGGTCTGATTCACATGTCTTATTAGAACTCATTCACATTCCACTGCATTACCTTTGGACATCTTTAGATGTTTCATTCATAAAAGGATATATTTAAAATTTTAACCAGTGTTTTCAATTAATTAAATTCTATTTATTTGACATAAGACTCAAAAACACCATGAATACTGAAACAATAAAAACTCCCTAAAAACTGCACAAAAATTCAGGAAGAAAAATGAAAAATAAGATGACTTGGAGCCAAAAAGCAATTATTTATGCCTAAACAATTAATTTAATTACTTATCTCTAGTTTAATAAATTTTTTTAATCTTAAAAATCTTAATAAACAGTGTTAACAAATTGACACTCCCTTCCTACAATATATATCAAAACTGTATCCTCTCATGCCACATCTAAAATTTCCCACCCATCAAACAAGTTAAAATAAGACAAACAAAATCACAAGTATAAACTAAATCTAAAAGTTAGCAGCAGAGCATAAGTTAAATACATACAGTACTGACATGGATACTAGGAAGAAGAATTCTCCCCAAAACAGGCATTTGTTCCCAAAGACTGTCCATTATTCTTTTTTTTAATGAAGCACAAAACGTCACTAATCAAACACCAAACTGTAGACATCTATGCATATTTTTTTCTAAATAAAAGAAAATCACAGATATTGAAAATTTGAATTCTCTGAATTTTTTTTACTACTTTTCAAATATCATAGAAAGTTAGACTGAAAACATTAGCAATTTCAYTATAAGAAACATTTTTAACAAGACCCACAGGTCCAAGCATAGCATATAATTAAAATGGTCATGGCAAAAACTGCCACAGGTTTCACCTGTAAGCAAAGTGGACCCCCTGGAAAATGACGTATTTTCATCTATAAAATATTTTTTTCCCAAGTCTAAGTTCTAAGATTTTTATTTAATGAGTTTCTTACTTTTAAAATTTATATTTTAAACTGCGGAAAAAGCATGTAGCATAAATCATCTATGAAATCTTACAGGAAGGAAAGTTTCTATACATCCAAGCTGAACTACCACTCATGTGCTTCCAAACATCATACATGTAAGGGAACTAAAAGATAAGGTGTCCAAATGATTGTCTATGATTAACAGTCAGTGTATATTGAATCTGCTAGCAAGCAAAATTAGTACAATGAATAAAAACCTACTAGGGCAAAAAAAGATAACACAAATGTTTTAACAATGTGCACTTTTGAAAGGGCACTGCAGCTGTGATTGTATTTATCCTTCTTGCTTTAACTCATTCACTCTACAATTATTTACTGAGCACCTACAATATGACAGGTATGATGCTTCATAAGCCAAACAGGAATAGTGTAAAATATCCTTTATAGGACCCCTTCTTGATCTTGAGCCATTTTTAAACTGGTTTTGTCACCAAAACAAGGTTCCTGGATAATTTAAGTTTTCCATGTTTAATTAAAAAGCCTATACCTTTAGAAAAACTCTAATTTGTCTCACAAAATAATGATTTGCAAAGAATTCCATCTTGCTTCATGAAGGTACTAACCTAGAGCTCTGCCCCTTAACAACCATGCCCAAATCCACATCTGGATTCCCAGAGATGGGCAAAGAAAATCCAAACTACCCTTAAGTGGGGATTCCCTAAATTCCCACTGTCCATGCCAACACCATTGAGTTTAGAAACATCAAGTACATAGAACTGAGCTTTGGATATAACACGTRACAAACATTAGCTGCTATTATTTTGACTATCAGCATTATATCATCATCAATCTTCAACTGTGCTTTTCCCACTGGTACAATTAAACCAGGTAAAGGGGAAATAAAAAAGACATTTCTAACACCTAATTTTTAAAAGTATATAATTAAAATATTTAAATTGTCCTTATTAGTTGCCACAAATTTAGTTTACATCAAATTCAATCCTTACCCTTGTAATGGGCTAAACTGTGTCATATGTTGAAGACCTACTACCACCTCAGAATGTAACTATATTTGGAGATTAAGTCTTTAAAGAGGTAAATCCCAAAATGACTGGTACCCTTATAAAAAGAGGAGATTAGGGCACAGAAGGAAGACCATGAGAAGACAAAGAAAAGATGGACATTTACAAGCCAGGGAGAGAGAAGCCCCCAAAGAAACCAATCCTGACACCTTKATCTTGGACTTCTATCCTCCAGAACTATAAGAAAATAAACTTCAGCTATTTAAACTCCCTCATAGCTCAGGTTAGTTTGTTACAGTAGCCATGGTAAACTAATGCAGTTCTAGAAGAAATTAGTGTTATTACCAGCCCCACAAAAAAATATTGCAATGCAGAGACAATTTATCAAGCACCATCTTCACATTTAATATTCTATATCTACCTACTTATTACAAGCTGAATTCCAATGTAGATAAACAAATTTATTTCTGTGCCATACTCTTATTACATATGTGTAACAAGAACCATGTAAATCACTTAAATGGCTTTGTTAGAATTATCTTTAAGACGACATGTGTGTCTTTTATCTAAACTTTAGCAATGGTCAAAACTAATTCCTAATTATTTTTCCATTAACCAAATTAAAGAACTATGAACAGTGGAATGCCTCTATACATAATCTAATAGAAAAACTCCAAAAGTCTAGCATAAAAGGCAAATTTAAATGGACTGATCTTTATAAAGATAAATAAGTAAAAGGTTTTCTTAAAATATAACTATTTAATTTCAACAATTATAATTTCTTATGAACTAAGATCATTTCAAAGACTCATAAACTCATAAGGGTTTTCATAGAGGAATCACAGTAACTGATTAATCCATTTTGCCTTCAACACTTCATTTGCCCTTCAACAATCATGTAGAAAATATGTCAAAGATATTTACTTGAACCAAAATACAAGCTCAGAGATGTCAACTTAAAAGCCTTCCATAAAACTCATCTATAATAGATACTAATACCACCACAATATAGCACAATTAATGAAGAATGAACTGAAAGATAGCCTCTTGCAAGCTTCCAATATTGAGTAATATAACAGTAAATTAGTTTTTATTGCTGTTATACAATAGAGTAATCAAGTATTCCCTTTTACACTGAATTGGTTCTTTCTTTTTCTAAATCACTGTAAAAACTACAATTGTATATTAACATGAGACCAATCAGATAGACAGTATTTTATGAAAAGTTGTATGGGATGAATTCTTGTGACATAAAATTATATTCCTATCTCTAGATTTAATAATCTTAGGACACTGAGTTGCAAGCTGATTTACTTAAGTGGACAATTCAGTTTCTTTTTTTTTTCTTTCCCTTGAATACACTTAGAAATTGAACCAGGGTTACAATAGCATTAAAAATACCTTTCAATTTATTATTTTTCATTCTAAGCACCCTACAACCCACAAAAGAGTTAATAGATGTTTTAAACAAATGGAGAAATGTCTAAAATAATAAATGAATAATTAGAAATTCCACAAAGCAGGTATAAATCCAAATTCAGCACACTGTTTTTTAAATTTAAGTTCTAAAGTAAAATACTTACAAAGTTGAAAATTCTATTGCCTATTTTAAATGTGCAAAAACAATTAGTACCTATAATCATTCATTGATAAATCACTATTTTTTAAATTTTGGACTCTTGATTATAGCCTAGAATCTGTGGAGTCTGATCTTCTTAAGGAACACTTTTTGGGGGGGGGGGGGGATACATGAGCATAAACAATATTATCCTGAGTACCTAGACAAGAAGTATCTGGCCCTGATTTAGAAGGATCTCCCCATTTGTCCTCCAACCACACCACTTTACACAGGATAAATCCATAGGCTAAAGAACTTGCCCACCCAGAGCCTGTCATGCTCTCCAAGTACCAAGGCTCAGACATTTGTGTCCAAATAGCACCAAACTGGCTTCTTCAGCCTACATTGAACCTGCAACTGGAACCTCCCTACCCAAGCAGGGCCAAGAGGCTGCAGTTTGTTGGGATGTGGACAGAACACTGTGGTGTCTGCAAGCAAAGCTCCTCCTGGTTTGGGACAAGGCCAGGTCTGGGAGGAAAGGGTACTGGACTACTCCCAAGGTAGACTCTTCCCACATATACCATCACACTCCAGTGGGAATGTGGAGCCTAAGCAGTCTAAAGAGTAAAGCTACCCTTGGTCTTCCAGATCACAATGGGATTTCTATTTTTCTTTTTTTGTTTTAAGCCATCTATTGTTTTGATTTTTGACTTTTAAATATTGAGAAGCARGGAATGTGAGTCTCTTTGTACTTCTGCCCCAGATACTACAAATTTTTGAAGCAGGCCCAGGCATACTACAACCCAAAGTTCAACTCAGTCATTCTCATGAATCTAGCACCTACTGCAAACCTACACAAGAGTTCAGTAAATAAAGTAAATGAGAGATGAATGAAATATATGACCAAAAAGACTGGGGGGCCGGGGGGGGGAGGCATGGAGGAATAGAAATGCAAATTTAGTACTTCAACTAGAAAAGAAACCAAAGGTAAAAGATATTATACTATAGCTTGAGTATATTCACTCTATTCTGAGGCCAACCTAATTATCTTTGTCCTTCAGGTTTCTATAATATTAATAATTAAAAAGGCCCTGTCAGTCCTAAGATGATTTAAAACACTGATCCCTGAAGAGGCACACTCCCACCAAAAACAGCACTGCTATATCATTGTGATTTTGGCTGCATCAATAATGTTTTTTAATGAGAACATTAATTCCACTCAAAAGTTAAATTGGTGCCAACTTCCAAGAAGGCATGAAAAAATTTTAGTAAAAAAAATAATTATATTCAGTTAAGTAACAAACTGATAACAAATATTTAAAACATCAAAAGTAAGCTTTAAGCTATTTCAATTTCAATTTGAGAGTATTCTCAAATTTAAAAATAAATACAAATAGGCTTATAAAGCAAGCTTCCTTATTACAGTCATTGAGCTATTCTCTAGAAGCAAATTATCAACAAGTTTCTTCCATCACTGATGGATCCTT